ATCAATCATTAATTAAACAAAATGCTCCACAGTCTTGCCTGCAGGCCAGGAGTATGGGGCAGGCAAGTCCTCAGTTGGGGTCCCATCTTCCCGAATGATCTCACTTATGCCAAGTTGACAAAAGACTAGTGAGCACACTGAAGCACCAATCATTTTCTCAAATCCTCTGGACATGCCCACTTCATGATCAGAAAAATGTGTCGGTTACCTAGAGCGGTGCTCTACTGAAATCTCCCCCTGGCTATGATGCAATCTGGGACATGAAGAATTTGACTATGCAAAGCGTGTGTCGGGTCCGGGCTTTCTGACCTGACATCCCGCCATCTTCTCCATCTCACAGCCCAAATGATGATGTGAATGTCCTCCTCCTCTGAGCCTCGGCAGTGCCGTTAAGCAAAGCCAGGACTCTTGAGCTTCTCCCCTAGACCCAAGGAGTTGTGTTTGCCTTGTACGGAACCTAGAAGCCTGCTGGATAATTACAGTTGAGCAGACGGGCAGAGGCAGGCACTGGCTCTCTTAGGCTTCTGTCGGAGTTATTTTTTCCGTTGTTGTGGTAAAGCACCATGACTTAGGCAACTTACAGAAGATAGGGTTTATTTGGGAGTAGACTTTCAGAGGGATAAGAAGAGTTCATCACCATCGTGGTGGGGAAGCTGGCAGCAGGCAGGCATGCTGATGGGAGCAGCAGGCTAAGAGTTCCCATCTTTTTTTTTTTCCTGGTTTTTCAAGACAGGGTTTCTCTGTGTAACAGCCCTAGCTGTCCTGGATCTCGCTCTGTAGACCAGGCTGGCCTTGAACTTACAGAGACCCGCCTGCCTCTGCCTCCCTGGGATTAAAGGTGTGCGCCACCACTGCCCGGAAAGAGTTCACATCTTAAACTGTAAGCAGGAAGCAGGAAGAGTGAAGTGGGGTTGGTGGGAGGCTTTTAAACCTCAAAGCTCACCCCAAGGGACACACTTCCAAGCAAGGCCACAACTCCTAGGCCTCTCCAAACACCATCACCAGTTGGGGACCAAGTATCTAAACACCTGAGGATATGGGGGACATCCCATTCAAACCACAACAATTTCCACATAGTTAGGTATGTATTCCATGACACATGCTGTGCTGTGTCATGGAATAATCAGACAGGACCTTCCTTCCCTGTCTTTACTCAGTGTCTAGCTAGCATTTCACCATTTCATCAGCCCCAAAGGAATTCCCATCTCTTGGCTTTCTGAGTATAATTCCATTACTGGCTTTCTGAATCATAGCTCCCTTTCTCCCTGATTTGTGATCTCATTCACTAGACCACATTCCTGAATGAAAAATGAGGTTCCCTCAGCCTCCATAAAAGTCCCTGTTTTGCCTTGATCCTCACAAGGGCAGGCTCCCGCTGCAAGTACAGCTTCCATTCCAAGAACCACAGAGCACTATCCTGAGAAGTGCAGGGATCCCAGCTTAGCCCAGGCAACAGGGTGGCTCTGCCTACCTTAGACCTAACCAGCAATAGCATGGCTAGGGATACATCTTCTAGAAATTGTGAATGATACATTTAAAGAGATTTCTAGATAGACCAACTCACTATGAAAGTCCACAGGGTGCACCCTGGTACCACAGAAATAATGCAAAAGATATGGGTGGTCCCTACTTTGTCCTTTATTGGCAAACTGTACTGCAGACCACTTGGAACGATTAAGATTACAAGTGATCCCGCTCCTTCAGGATTCCAGGTACCTGGAGGGAGTCTCCCTTTCAGTTTCCTTGAATTCCAAGTCATTGAACTGTCAACATCCTCCATGGAAAACGCAGAGAATTCTAGACACTCTGTCCTCTCAGCAAAGGCGTGGAATCTGAAACATGAAAGGTGTTCTGTATTAGGCACATGCCTATCAACTCTCTCAGTCAATTTGCTGTCTTTGGTGCTCCAAATCTTGGTTTTGTGTTTTGATTTCTCAAGATTGGGTCTCACTATGCTGCCCTGAAATTCTAGGCTCAAACAATCTTCCTGCCTCTATCTCCCAAGTAGCTGGGACTACAGGCGTACAACTCTCTACACCCAATGCCAAGTCTCTTTACCTTAACCATATTCTCTGATTTCCCTATACCTTGTCTTGTCAACTCCCACAGTCCAAAGCCAGGCAGACTGCTCAGTTCATTTTGTTGAGCAAGCACTGGGACCTGGGTTTGGATCCCCAGCACCCACATATGAAGCCAGGGTTGCAGCATACATCTACGATCCCGGCACTGATGAGATATAGACAGACAGACTCCTGGAGCTTGATGGCCAGCCAGCCTAAGTGAATCAGTGATCTTCAAGTTCAGTGAGAAGCCCTGTCTCAGAAAATAAGGTGGCAAGGGACTAGGGAAAATGTCCAACATTGGCTCTGGCCTCCATACACAGCCTCATGCACACACACGAAAATGGCTTGGGATTTTAGGTGGTGGTGTGGCTTTTCATTATATTAATTAGCTCAACCAGATGGTATTTCTTGAGCCTAGGAAATGATAGTGCTATTTTGTCTCTAAGTCTCTATCACATTAACACTGTTTTGATGGCCCAGGCATCAAATGGGGGACCCCACTAGCAGCCATTAGCATCGACTGGCTCAGCACTGAAAGCCGGGGGTACAGACAGCCTTGACTAATTTGCCTGCTGCTGAGTGGCCTCAGTCAACTGTAACTCTGCAAACACATACTGCCCCAGGCTTTGAGCTTAAGAGCTAATGAAAAGAATTCCTGTGTGGGCAAGTTTTGAGGGCCTGCCAGCTCCAAGTGTGGTCCAAAGAACAGCAGCAGTGTCGCCGGGGAGCTGGAGAGAGATCCGTGATCCCAGGCTCCTGCCTGGACCTGCTGAGTCAGGACATGGCTTTAACAAGATCCCCCCGGAGGATTCATGTGCACGGTAAGCTTGCGGCTGTTGGTGCAGTGCAAGCTGATGGGCTAGCCTCGCTTTTTCTTTCTTTCTCCGCCTTCTGTGCAGTGCTACAGCTGGATCACAGGCCCTCACCCACACTAGTCAGGCACCCTGAGCTACATCCTCAGCCCCTAGGTTGCACTCCTGAAACCCCTCACCTGTAAGCCAGAAAGTCAGTGATAGAACCTTAGCTTCTGATTCACAAAGGAAGACTCAGGTGGTACTCAGAGATCAACCTCTGCTTGTCACTGCTAATGCAACTCAGGGAATCCCGCCGGGCCACTCGGAGTGGACAGATAAGTGAACGAAAGTGGGGGCAGTCTCGGGGCCTCCTGGATTGTGTCAAGACTGTCATTTTCCTAAAGAGCTTCAGCTGAGATTGGCACAGTGACTTGGTAGCAATGACCAAGACAGCCTCATCCCTGTGGCCCTGTGGCCCTGTGGCCCTGTGGCCCTGAGGCCGGGGCACCCAGCCTGCCTATGCCTGCCTCCTGTAGGCACTTTCCAGAGCGGAAATGGCCAGTTCTCCTCCTTTGGTGCCCACTTGATAGGGCAAAGTGTGTGTGTGTGGGGGTGGGGGGTGAGGTCTGTCCTGGCAGACCCTGAACCCTGAGTGTCAAGGCCTTGGGTGTCTAGAACTTTCCACTCTCTAATCTCTTCTCCAGATTAGAAAAGAGAGCAGGGTGGAAGTTCCTCTAATGGGGTGAGACACAATTATGAAAGGCTCTTTGGAGAGTACTACTTACACCACAGCACCCACCCCACACTGGCGGCTCCACACGAACACCGCCTTGGACACTGTGCTGGTGGGGAATCAGAGGCCAGTGGAGAGCCCATGGTCTAGGCAGCCAGCAAGCTAAAACCAGAAAGGCAGGCTGTTCCCAGTTGGGTATTCTCTGTCCTCTAGCTGGGCCCGGAAGTCCAGAGCACAAAGGAACAGCAGAAGGCATGGTGTGTCTGAGCCCATACTACCTCAGGCAGAAGCATCAAGGGGTGTGCAGGGGACGCCCGTGTGAGGGTCCAGAGCACGCGGAGGATGGCACACCTCCACTGACTGTTTTATGCAAACCGGACACCCTGCAATGGATGATCTGAAAGCCAGTAGCTGAATCAGCACTGCCTGTGACATGTTGCTCCCTGAGCGCTGAACCTCCTGGAGAAAGTTCCCCAGGAGATGGGAGGCAAGGCAGAGAGAGAATCCTGCCAGCTGTCTTTCTCTCTACCCTGGAGAGAGTGGATGAGGAGCCCCCTTTTACGTTTTTGGGGATACCCAGCATCCCTGGGTCAAAGTCTGGTGCCTGGCGATTTCCAAGTGTTCACAGAGTTTCTGGGGTGGTGAGCTCAGATTCTCGCAGGTCTTGTAGCACACGAAGAGTCCTGACCCTCTTCAGACCTGGGAAGTCAGGATTCCTACAGCGGTGGGCAAGGAACAGCATTTCCACCAACTCTATTAGGCAAAATGGTGGAGGAACATATGTATTTCTGGCTTGCCTTTGGTCAAGTCAATAAAGGCTAAGTCTAGTCCTCAATATCACTAACAATTCCCTCTTCTTTAATATGCAATAATCTCTATGTTCAAGAAAAGATTGGCTGTTGAGGCCAGCCTGGTCTACAGAGTAAGTTCCAGGAAAGGCGCAAAGGTACAGAGGGAAACCCTGTCTCGAAAAAACCAAAAAAGAAAAAAAAAGAAAGGATTGGCTGATGTGACCAATTGCAGTGAGCAATAGGATGCGGAGCAATAGGATGTCCAGTATCTGGCCCTGGGGTAATAACTGGCCTGAGCGTGACAGCCTGTAACCTCCAGGCAGTACTTACTGTCTCTAGGAATTAGCTGACTGGGAGGGCAGTCTCTCCAGTCCAAAAGACTGCAAGACTTCAAAACAGAAGGCCTGGATCGATGGATGATAAAGAAAAGGGTACACAAACCACGGAGACTTACACAAGGACATACTGGGTAGGCATCTAGATTATAAGCGGGCCACCCATGCTCGGGCCCTCCCGAGTGCGTCTTCTGCCTACCTGCTGTCGGTCTCGGTGCTCAGCTTTTTTAAGAAAGCTACGGTTTCTTCTCCTTTGGCGTTGAAGGACACTGTGCAGACTGGATATGGGATTTCCAAAACCCTCTGGAGAAGCAGCTCCTGGGACTCCTCTGGAACATCCCCCACCACAAAGTAGTAAATGGCTTCGATCTGCAAGACAGAGGCACCAATGACGACGGCTTATGGGCCTGCTGTACACCCCAGCCTCGCACTAGGCTCATCAGCAACACATTTTCGAATTGCTGCCAGAGAGAAAGGACAGAAAGAACAGAAGTTATGCTTGGTGTCCTGCGATGACGTTGAGAGGCAAGGCCAGCAAGTGAATCACTCAAGATCTTTTCACAGTGGCGGCGGCGGTCCTTGGGGGCTACACAAAGAAGACATAGTTGGCAGATATGAGAAGAACTGCTGCCTCAGGCCCGCAGGTACACAGACAGGAGAGGAAAGGTAGTTTTCAAGAAAAAAAAAAAAAAAAAAAAGAGAAAGTTTTGGCCCAGCCAGCCCCTGAGAACAGGGAGCATATTATTATCCACTTCCTCGGGTGGTGCCAGAACTCTACAGCACAAACTCATCCCTTGTCAATCTGGGGCAGGATGCAGAAGAGAGGGTGTTTTCCCAGCTGGCTCATCTTCTGCTCTCGCCACACTAGGGAAACACATGCCTGGGGAGATGAGGCTGTCCTGACTCCATGCAGCTGGTCAGGAGAAGGGTGTGCCCACACGGCTCTGCTCCACACAGCTGTGCCAGAGCAGAATGCTGAATGGACAATCATGTCAGAAGCAATACACACACAGCATACCCACACACCACATACCACACTCACACATACCCCCCACACCACACCACACTTTATACACACACACACACACACACACACTGCATACCCTGCACACACACACACACACCACATACCACAACACACACATACACATAATTAACACACATACCACATATCACACATCACACTCGCATACACCAAACACAACATGCGCACTACATACTACCCCCGATACACCATACCCCCCACACCATACTACATACTACATACACACACACATACTCCATGCCCCCATACACACACACCACACCGCACATACACACCATACTCCATAGACACATACCATACCACACATTATACACACACATAAACCATACTACACATACACCACACACACTACAACCACCTACACTGTACATA